TTATGGCTGTCGTCTATGTTCACCATCTCTCCCCTCACTAGAATATCCATTGATGTCTTATCTCTCTTGTTCACCTCTATGCCCCCACTAAGCACAATGCTTAGTATGTAGTTCAGTGAATAGTTGATTAATGTGTGGCTCCTAGAAACTCAACTCAAGAGAGAAGCTGGGATGAGCAGTGAGTTCAGGCATATCTGAACTCCTCTGTTCTATTAACTGTGAGACCCAATACTTACAAAGTCACTTAGCCACTTACAGAAACAGAAAGTGCTGTAGGTCCCTTTTTAAAGCCTTTTACTAATATACATTTGTGATTAATTAGGCTATTTGTTGCTTGGTCTTTGTTTTACACTTTTTTCCCACCTTTGGACTTTCCTTTGCTCATTACTAACTCCCACCAGAGAACAAAAAAGTATTGAAATAAAAGATATGACACTGTACCACACTATATAACAAGCTCCCTTTGGAAGTCAGTTTTCCTGTCAGCAGAGAGGTTGAAGCTCTTCTGGACACTCATCTTATACTAGGAGGGAAAGTGAGTGATTTGGTTCCTGGCTATAAAAGAAAACCTTAAGAAGGCAGAAGTTACTTTATTTGCAAAAGTTGAAACTTGAAGGGAAAACACTTTTTTTAGACTGCTGTGTATCTAATGGAGTTTATATAATATATGAAGTATATCTGAGAAAATTACCTATAACTTTTTAAAGCTGAACTCTGTTCTTACCAGCAAATGATGGTATTGACATTTTGAGAAAGGAAGTCTGAGTGTCCCTTAATCACTCTTGACAATCTAGTGGTTCCAGACACCCACACACTGAGAAGGGGCAGTATATAATAGTAGGGAAGAGAGACAAGTCATTCTTGGCATCACAGGTGAAAAAATAAAGAAGCAAGTTAAACTGTGTACATGTTCACCCTCAGTATGCAGTTGATGTACAGAGCAGTGACTATGGATCAATAGGAGAAGGTTAAAATACATTTGTTAATATTAATAATGAAGAAGTACATTTTAGAGAGATTAAAGTGGTTGAAGTTTTATAGTTTAAAGGAGTAAAACCTCAGTTATTTGAAAAATTAACTTCTGAGGAATACCTCTTTGCTTCTTAAAGGAAATGTTAAAACATTAGATTGAGGTTATTATTGCAATCAGATCTCCTAAGATTTGTGAATGTACTCCTGTGTGTTTCTGGAATCTACAAGCTACCTATCTATTCCAGGTACATCATGTACTCAGATGATTTTATAATCCAGAGAACTATGGAGCAAAGGAGCAAATAGTTGGTTAGCTAGGACATCAGGTGCAACATAGAGATTAGCAAAGAAGAAAAGCTATGCAAATAAAATGCTTATAGATGAGTAGTCTCATATTTTTTTGTTATTCTTGCAAATGCATCTTGTGATGTATGTAATTAGAATCACAGTTATTTAATCATCCCCTTTTCTCTCCACTGCCTCTTCAGGGCCATGGTTCTTTGGTGAAATTACTGAAGGCAAAATGGGTTGCTGCTTTTCCTTTGGGATCTTTGTTGATGGGCATTTCCTACAAGGCAGTATAACGTTTGTGGTTGGACTTCTCCAGGTAAGAAATCAGAAATGCAATTTAAGAACATCTTGGGGTGGGCTGGGATGGGAGTAAAAGGCAGAAAACTGTACTTGAACAACAATTAAAATAAAAATCTAAAAAATTATTAAAAAAAGAACATCTTGACTTTGTTGGATTAGTTGTGTAACATTTAGGAATTAAATCTTAAATCCCAAATTAAACACCATAAATCATGTTTTCAAATTTACTGGCAGGTAGTCTTTAATAACTGGTGTTTTGTTTGCCTTTTGAGTACTTCCTAAGCTCTTTATTCCACCATTCTCTTGTAAACATCTAAAATAAATTTTTGTCAGGCGGGTTTATAAGAGACTTATAAAGAGGTTTTGGTTTTGTTGTTTGTTTCATGATGCTTTTCATTGACAAAAAATAAAATAAGGGACTTATGGCAGAATAAATGATAGAATTCCGAGTAAACCAAAATTGATTATGATAATGAAGCAAGAAAATATTTCAGAAGGAGGAAAGGAAAAATGGACACACATGAAAAGTGAGTCATTTATCCAATGGAAGCTGCACTGGGCGAAACCGGGCATGGGCTTTCTGTTGGTAGTGCACTTATCTGGGAAGCACTAATACATTTGGTCCACATTTTGACTGAGATACCTTTAAAACAAACAAACACACAAACAAAACTCTGACTCATAGTAAATCTCTATAAATAGGTTTGAAAGGTATTTACTTAACAATTGATTTTACTTGTGGGACTAATGGACTAAAATCTGGAGGTAATGACCTGGAGTTTTGGAAGAGATCCAAAAACATTGTTCAGAATGAGCTCAGAGCCTCATAACGGTAATAAAATGTGACCGGCAGGGTTAGAGATAAACAGGGAAGACTTTTGCAAATACCGACCATAGGCCAGAACGTTCTCTGTAAAGCAGCGTTTCATGTGTGCGTAGGTCTGGGTCCGGTTGTAAATGGAGGTTGTCTCTCAGGAGCGTTCTTATACCCAGTAAACCTAAGCCTTACCAAAGGGTGGGTATTAATATTTGAATATGAATATTCCTATTTGAATGTTTATTCAAATTTTATTCATGTTTGGATAAATGGTACACTAATAGTGGCTCTTACCTATTATTTAGGCTCATGACTCCCAAATCTGCATTTCTGATCTAGATCTCTTCTCTGCACTTCAAGTGCCTGTATAGCCAACTGCCATTTTGTATCTTCTCTTAGGTATCTACCAAGCATCTCAGTAGTATATGGGACCTTTAATTCCTAACCCCAAATTTGTCCCTCTCTAGTTTGTTCAGTTTTAATAAATGGCCCTACAATTCACTCAGTTTCTCTAGGATATATCCTTAAGTCTTCCCCTTCCCTCATATTCTACCTAGTTCATCAGCAAGTAATACTTTGTTTGCTCTACCTCCAATCTACATCTTGAATCCACCATTTCTCTCCATCTCATTACCTCTACCCTAGTCTAAGTCAGAATTATTGCTTGCCTGGGCACCCTCTAACTGGTCTTCCCTCTGCTGCATTTGCCTCCTTACTGCCAGTTTGCCACCAAGTATCCACTGTGGTGCTTTTAAAACCTTAATCAACCTACTCACTTCTCAGCTTCAAACCCTTTCAAGCAGAGCAGTGACATGATCTGGGTCCTGCTGACTGCCCTAGTTTCCACCTGGCTTATCATGTTCTAGGCCATTGGCCGAGACCTCACCCACCTCTGGGCTTTTCATTTGATTCTTCTGCTTGGAATGTACTTCCTCCCACTGACTCATTCCTGTGCTTCAGGCCTCAGAGAGTTCATCTGCTAGTTACCCTCATGACCCAGTCATTTCCTTTATTGAATGTTTCAAAATCTGTAATTATCTCTCTTTTTTGGTTTCTCCCTGTTAGAATACAAGCTCTGTGATGCATCTTTTCTGACTTGTTCACCAGTGTGTCCCAAGCCTAGAGCATAGTAGCATCTACCCCATAATGGGTGAATTGATGAATAATAATACAGCAGCTAAACTTGGACTGTAACTTAAGTCTTCTAATTTACATTCCAGGAATCATCATACCACTTCAAATAAAAATACAGAGATCAGAAAAAAAATATTGATACCCAAATCCCTCTCTCCACTCCTGCACTAATCCAAAATAGTATGTGTGCATCTTAGAGGCATACATACTCAATCCATTTCCACCTTAAACATTATTGAGGGCTTCAACATAAATGAAATGATACTTGCCTTTAAAATGAATAAAAGGATACAGGTCAAAATATACAACTAACTACAAATCAACTGTTGTGTTAGAAGCAAGTGTGATTGAAACATAAAGAATCAGAGGGTTAACCCCCAAGAGAGAAAGCAACATATTCTTAGGAGCTACCTAATGCATTAGTGAGACCTGGTCCTGACCCCTCTGAGGGCTTGCTAGTAAGCTAATGGTTCTGTTCTGCTCTTTCCAGCTGGCGTTTTTTAACATCCCCTTGATGGCTTACCTGTGTTGGAGCTTGCTGCAGCGGTGCTTTGGTCACAACTTCAAGTCTCATCTCCATCAAGGAAAATATTTGAAAATTATACCTGTTCACCTCCTTATGTTACTACTGTACATCTGGCAGATTTGTTCCTGCTACTTTCTTCATATGACATATGGCACTCTGGCCTTTTTTTTCTCCCCTTTGCGGACCTGGTTGACACTGCTGACACCTCTTCTCATTTATCGTGTGTGGACACTGAACTCCAAGGAGCTTGGAACTTTTACAACGCAGTTAAAAAGCTACCTGAGCTCCTGAAGGCCATGCCTCACCATTCACCTCGGTAGCCCAGGCCTCTGCTCCAGAAGCAGGTGAATGGCCAATATTGGTGGCAAGCTTCAGAAACTGCTGCTGCTTGGCTGCCTGGGAATTGGGGGGGATTACCTACTACTGATTCCTGCAGAATGGACTGCAGAAAAGTCTCTCAATAATGCCATGATTCCTTCCTTCCTCAAGAAGGCAAAGGGTTGATTTACTTTTGTGAAGAGAAAGTCGTATACAGGGACTGGGTGTGTATGGGTGTATCTGATGCCCACTGTGTTTTTAGGACTACCTCATGTAAAGTACCTAGCACAGTATCTGGAACTCAGCAGAAAAGGGTGCCACTTAGAGGCAGGGAACCAATGTGAACTGGGCCCAACTCTGGCAACCCTTAGGCTTTTACCTCTCCGTTCCCCCCCCCCCCCCCCCCCCCCCCGCCAGGTTAGGGGCTGTATTTCCTTAGTCGTGTTTTCAACCAATCAAATAAATGAAGGATGAACCACTCTGACTGGGGCTGAAGTTTGGAGCTGGGCCTCGAGCCTGGGAAGGAGGGTGCGGGGGAGGTGGGCGTGGCCAGGCGCCTGGGAGGTGGGAGGAGGCGTGGCCTGGCCTCTGGGGCTGGGTGGGGCCGGCTGTTGCCGGAAAGGAACGGTGGCCTGTGACACCCGGAAGTAGAGGGGCTACTGCAGTGCGACACTGGCAGCTGCTGTGGCGGCTTTGTCTGCGAGACTCAGACCGTATACTGAGATGGCAAGCGCAGCTGCACCCGCAAGCCCCACCCTGGCTCCGCCTTTGGAGCAGCTTCGGCACTTAGCAGGGGAGCTGCGGTTGCTCTTGCCTCGAGTGCGGGGTGAGATGATGCTTTTGCGAAGGGCAACTGCTGGGGTGGACTTTGGGTCATGAGGAGGCCGAGCTCTGGCAGGGGTGGGGACAGGGACCCATGTATGGGAGGTGGGGGCCGGAGGTGGCCCAGCTTACTTCTGCTCTTTCTGCCACTGCCTGCTGCACGCGCCATTCGCACCCAGTTGGTGAAGCCCAGGAGTCCACCAAGGAGTTCAATCCGGAGACGTTTTGGATAAGACTCAGTGAGTACCTCTCCTGTTGGGTACTCCCACCTCTCTTCTTCCAGTGACCAGATCCCTTTCCCTTTCGCCTTCTGCCTACGTATCCTCTCAGCTGGGGTACCTCCCCATACCCCAGCCTTGGTATCTCAGAGGTTGAAATAAAAACATTGATCTTTGGAGGTGTTTTTGAGATGTCTCAGTTGGTAAAAATAGGGAGGGAAGGCACTATCTTTCAAGTCTGTGCAGCAGTTGCAGCCTTATCCTTTTGGCACTAACACTGGCTTCCGCCTCCTCCCCTGTCACACGTCCCCCTCCACAGATGATGCAGCTGTGAAAGTGTCAAGGGAAGCCACCATTCTGACCGAAGTCTTCTCTCGACTTCCACTGCCACTGCCGTCCCCACAGGTGCGCTTTAATTTCCTGGAATCCTTGTGCTGCCTCATTATTCCTTATGAATCCTCTCATTTTCTTTCCACCTTTTACACTCAAGCCAGGGGATTTATTATTCCTCTTATCTGTCAAATAAGACTGCTGTTCTCATCTCACAGGATTGTTGGAAAGGCCATATTGCCAAGTGCAGTAATTGGCATGGAACAGGCTGGTCTTCTAAATAGTGTTGGTTGGATTTAAAGTTTATTATAGTTATTTCCATTCTGATAATTCTTTTAAAGCACTTGCTATTTGTTTTCATATATATATATCACCCCATCTGACAGATGAGTAAGGTAAATAAGCAGTGGAATTAGAATTTAAATTAGGATCTGATGTCAGCTACACCTTTTTTGTTATACTACATAAAATCCCTTTTATATTGAATTTTTATATTTAATCATAATATAATGTATACACTACACAATTCAAAAGATATAAAAGTTAAGTGTACTACAGAGTTTATATCTCTACAAAGTAGATATTCTGTAGAGTACATTTTACATAGCCCTGGCTTAGAACTTAGCAGCAGAGTGAGGACAAGGAAAACAAGAGAAAGCCAGTGAGTGCTTAGAAAGAAAATAGTCAACACTGAGCATTGTAGAGTCCATTATTACCTGTAGGTGTATTGTGATCCTGCTAGAGAAACAGAGACTGCCACCTGGTTAATGCGCTGAGGATTGGCAAACATTTTCTGTAAAGGATCAGAGTAAATACTTAGGTTTTGCAGGCCAACTCTGCCCTTGCAGTGCACATACAACTGTAGATGATATGTAAACAAAAGGGTGTGGCTGGGCCCCAGTAACACTATTTAAAAAAACTGGCAGTGTACCTGATTTGGCCCAACTCCCCGCCTAAGATAGGGTGAATTTTTCACGGCAGAAATCAAGAATAAGGTTTTCCGGCTGTTTCTTAATGTCTTACTACATTATCAGCCCAGTATCTGGTGTCCAGCTAATTCCTCCCAGGTGTGTGATGAGAATAGCACAAGGTCTAACTCGTAATAGGACTTCAGGAAGTGTTTGTGATATGGTACAGGTGTCTGCTGTCTTCAAATTGAAGGTGGGCCACCTTGATCTAATCCATTTCCTCTTTTTGCTCTGAAATGGGTCCACTCCCTCACAGGAAACCCAGAGGGTCTGTGAACAAGTCCAAGCTGCTATCAAGGCTGTTATTGCAGTATACTACTCACTCCCCAAGGATCAGGGTAAGCTGCTGTGTACACAGGAGCATTCAGTTTAGAGGGCAGATCTTTGCTAATATGACAGCTTATGTCCTGAGCCTTTAACTTTTCCTCAATTTGAGCATGTATTGTAACTTTCTCATAAAATGCAAAGATAACTTTATAATGTAAGTAACCTCTAAGAATAAGCCTTTAGATATAGATGTTGTGTGGCCATCTCCCCTGCCTTGCCTGGCTCTAGAGTTTTTAATTCTCACTGGCTCCTTTCTCTCCTACCCACTATACCACCATAGACGCTGACTAGGTCTCAGCCGCATACCTGGGCCCAGGCCATCCCCAGACTCTACCCATATTGTATCACACCCTGTTTCTGAGTTCCCTTCTGTGTTAAGTGGTCTCCTGCTTTGCCTGTAGATCTGTGTCTTGATTATAACCATACCAAAATTATAAATAAATACACGTCTCATGATCTTCGGGTTATTCAAAGATCGCTTAAACTTCAAGTGTTTTTATGCACAAGTATCAAAGGACCACTGCCCTTAATGAATGAATACATTATGTCATGGAAAGGTTTTGTTCTAGGTCTCTTACGGAGAACAGCACTCAGGAATGGTAGGAAGGGCAAGAAAATGACATGGGAATAAGTCAGACCAGCGTTTTGTGTGGGCACTCCAGTTAAAGCATGTGGGTGCACATTACCTTAAGTTCTGTAGTGCATCCTCTCTCAGAAAAGCAAATGGTGACTTCTGGAAAGAAGATCAGACTGCTGAGTCTTTGGGTTTGGCTACAGGAATCACCCTGAGAAAGCTGGTTCGGAGCACCACTTTGGACATCGTGGATGGCATGGCTCAGCTTGTGGAAGTGCTTTCCATCACTCCGGCCCAGAGGTAGTGATGCCACAGTTGGGCTATTGGCTAATGGGGTTCCTCATTTCAGGGAGGGGAAAAATTCACTCAACAGCAAAGTTACTGATAATGGAGAATAGTAAAGAGGAGAAAGGAGCTCTTTAGAAGACAGGGAACTAGCTTATTGATATATCCTTATTGATTCCATTCCTCAGCCCTGAGAACAATGACCTTATTTCCTGCAACAATGTCTGGCTTGTGTGCCAGCAGGTGCCTCGGATACCAAAAGGTGGGTAAGAGGGGAGTGGGCCATTGACTCTGCTGGCCAAAGCAGCCAGATCTCTCATACCAGCTTCCACTTTTGTACCATCTATGTATTTTAACTTATATAAAGATTTTAGCAGAATATATATAGTTTATCACCAACATCAATAGGTAGGTATTAATACTTTCTGCCAGTCTTTTTAGTTCTCATACTTCTAAATTCAAACTCCCCTCTTGCTGTGACTGCCTCTTGTTCAACAAACGTGGTTTGTTCTCCTGTTCCTGCCCCAGGATCAGTGTTATGGGCCACACAGAAGCAGTTATGAGGTAGAACCAGCTAGGCCAAAAGCTGTGGTCATGCAAGAGGACCATAAAGAAAAACACTTGTGACCATTTTACTTCTTGTGAATGACAGAAAACATTTTAGCCCCCTGTCTGTTAGTACCTGGAGGATGTGTGAGAATTTTATCTTAAAACTACTGGTCTTGTTGACCGTCTTTGGCACTCCCTTCCCATAGGAACGCTGTCGATTGCCCTTTGCAGACTTAAGAGAATTGTTGGGTTTCTCTAATTCTACTGCTTCTGATTTTTTACTTATAGACAACAAAGCTGCAGCCCTTTTAATGCTGACAAAGAGTGTGGATTTAGTGAAGGATGCGCATGAGGAAATGGAGCGGGTGAGACTTCCATCTTTGCTGGTCAGTGGAAGGCAACTCTGACTAGTAGATGAGAAATGGTTATAAGGAGAGGAGATGTCCTGAGCATTTGCCAAATAAATTTCACCCCCATTCCTACCCTCCGTTTCCCACCTCCACCCCACGCTGGTATGTGATTTAGTGCCACTCCCCTCTGGCCCATTGCTGGAGTAGGAGAGTGAGGGGTATATGCAGTGATACAACTTTGCCGCCACGAGTGAAGTAGCTGGCAGAGGTTTGGAGACAACTCAGACCTGATGCTGAAAGTACAATAGTCTTTACTTTTTTGGCATTCACATAAATCATGCTATGTCTTAGGCTGTGGAAGAATGTGACCCTTACTGTGGCCTCTCGAATGACATTGAGGAGGACAACTCTGAACAGGATGCTGTTTTGGGCTGTCCAAACAATCAGGACTCCTACTGGTCAGAGGAGGATCAAGAGCTCATAATCCCATGCCTTGCCCTGGTGAGAGCATCCAAAACCTGCCTGAAGAAAATCCGGGTCGCAGTGGCAGAGAATGGAAAGAAGGACCAGGTGGCCCAGCTGGATGACATCGTAGATATTTCCGATGAGATCAGCCCGAGGTAAGTGTGACCCTCACTTGAAATATCTCAGCAGCAACATGCTGATCTCAGCGTGTGCCATCACCCCAAGGTTTCTTCCCCAGTTTTTTATTTTGAAAATCTTCAAACCTACAGAAAAGTTGAAAAGTATTGCAGCGAGCACCCACGCATCCTTCTTCTAGATTCATTTATTGTTCATATTATTTTCTGAATTGGTTTATTTCTTATCGTTAGATGAGCCATTTTATCTTTGAGCCATTTGAGAGTAAGTTGCAGACATCAATGACATTTCAGCCCTAAATACTTTTTTTAATCTTATTACATCTAAGAAATTTAGCATTGAACAAATTAACATTATCTAATGTTCACATTTCCCCAGTTATCTCTAAATTGTCTCTTGTAGCTTTTTAAAAATATATATTTATTTATTTTTAGAGAGGGAGAAGGGAGGGAGAAGGAGAGAGAGAGAAACATCGATGTGAGAGAAACATTTATCGGTTTCTTCCTGTATGCACCCTAACAGGGGATTGAACCCACAACCTAGGTATGTACCTGACCAGGAATTGAACCTGTGACCTTTTGGTGTATGGAACGATGCTCCAACCAACTGAGCCCCTGGTCAGGGCTAGATCCTCACATTTGGCACTGAATTAATCATGTCTTCTCTTAGTGAAACAGTCTGTATATGTATGTGTTTAGTAAATATCTGTTGAGTTGCTTCTTTATTGGTTGTCCAGTTTAGACATTTCTGTTTAGGCATTTCTGAACTGATAGACATTTCTGTGACAGTCATTTTCTTACTAATTGCATCCTTAGTTGTGTACTGGAAGCAACCTAACTGTTTTGCTTTGTTTCTTTTTGTGTTAATGGTTATTTTTGCTTTCTGTCCTTAGTGTGGATGATTTGGCTCTGAGTATATATCCACCCATGTGCCATCTGACTGTGAGCATCAATGTAAGTGCCTACAGTGGTAGACCTAACTGGTGGAATTTTACCAATCACTGGTATTTCCTTTAAGCTATAGGAAATATATTCATTGCACTTGGCTGTAAGTACAAGAGTAATATCATAGTTCTTACATGATAAGTAATATAGTTCTTATGATGTTTGTGCTTGATAAATATTTGCCAAATTATAATAGCCATGAGCTCTGGCAGTACTTTCTTCTATAACCACTTGGATAATCATTTAGACAAACCCAAAGACCTTAGAAGATGCTGCTTTGAAAAGAAGGTCTTAATTATTATAGTGCTTTTGGATCTTCTCATCCTAAGTCACATGCTTCTAATTACTACTACAGGCAGAAATAAATGTTGCAGAGAAAACCTCTATTCTAATATAAGCACATTATATGATTTAATCATGGAGAGTCAAGTTCTTTATAAAATCGAATTTCATTGTTTTCTTTCAAGTCCTGGGTTCTGTGCTAGAGAGCGTTATCTTATTTTTATAAACTCAAGTTCTTATCTGTAATGTTATTGGGGAAAAAAGTAAAATTGCCAAATGGCTTATATTCTACAATCAGATGTATCAATTCTAATAATTTTTAATAAATTAGATAGTGGAAATTATATTCATCAAATATATCTTCATAATATACAAACACATTGAAGGAGTTTAGTATCCTTTTGGGCATTAACTTTTAAAATTTGTATTCACTTTTAAAAATTTGACCTCCTAAGGGCCCTGGCTGGTGTAGCTCTGGATTGAGTGCAGGCCTGCAAACCAGACAATCGAGGTTCAATTCCCAGTCAGGGCACATGCCTGGGTTTCAGGCTGGTTCCCTGCAGGCCACTTCCCAGCAGTAGATGCATGAAAGGCAATCATACATTGATGTTTCTCTCCCTCTCTTCTTCCCTTCCCCTCTAAAGATAAATAAATAAAATCTTTTAAAAAATTGACCTCCTAAGAAGTAAACATCTTTAGCAATATGCCTTCTCAGTGACTCCAAGTAAAAATTTAAAATATGTATTAGACATTGGTGACATGCATACATCCTCATACTTTCTTGTCATTTTAACATTCTATACACTGGTTTATATATAAATATATATGTGTGTGTGTGTGTGTATACACACACACATACATATATAAGTGAGGGTAAAGAGAGGAAGAAAGAGAGAGAGAAACACTGATGTGAGGGAGAAGCATGGATCAGTTGCCTCTCTTATGTGCCCTGACTGGGAACCAAACCTGCAACCCAACCCAGGTATCTAGTAACCTTTTGCTTTGTGGGATGATGCTCAACCAACTGAGCTACACTGGTCAGGAGTACACACATTTTTTTTATTCTATTTTTAAAAAAAGATTTTAGCCCTGGCTGTTGTGGCTCAGTGAATTGAGACCTGGCTGGCCTGTGAACTAAAATGTTGACAGTTCAATTCCCAGTCAGGACTCATGCCTGGGTTGCAGGCCAGGTCCCCAGTAGGGGGCATTCAAGAGGCAACCACATACTGATGTTTCTCTTCATCTTTCTCCCTCCCTTCCCCTCTGTCTAAAAATAAATAAGTAAAATCTTTAAAAAAACATTTTATTTATTCACCTTTAGAGATAGGGAAAGGGAAAGAGAAAGAGAGAGAGAAACATCGAAGTGAACACATCCATTGGTTACCTTTCACACACCCCCAAACAGGGACCTGGCTCGCAACCCAGGCATGTTACCTGGTCAGGGACTGAACTGGTAACCCTTTGCTTTGCAGGCTGGCACTCAGTCCACTGAGCTACAGCAGCCAGGACTACACAGGTTTTTAAAAAGAAGAAAGTTGTTTCTGTGGTATACTCTGAACTATCAAAAGTTCAGATAAATTCAGGTTATATTCTTCCTTTTGCCTCTTTCTAAATTAAAAACATTTTAAATTAAAAAAAACTTTGAAAAGTATTATAGCAACAATATTAATAAGATTTTGCTGGACTTCTGGTCAAGATGGAGGCATAGGTAGACACACTTCACCTCTGTATGGAAGTCCAACAACCAAAGATTTAAAGAATCCACATTCATCCAGATGGGTAGGAGTGGCTGAGACATAGAGATGAGTGGAGGGTCAAGGAGATGTGGTGAGGGTGGAGAGGTGGTAGTGGATGGGCAGTCCCTCATTCACATGTGGTAGATAACAATCAGGAGGGATACCTTTTGAGCAGGCAATCCCAGCCCCAGGCCAGACTGCACAACCAAGAGTTCTAGCACTGGATAGATAATCCCTATAACATCTGGCTGTAAAAACCAGTGGGGGTTGGGGCGGTGGAAGAAAATGCCGGATTTTCAGGAGACTCTACATAAAGGGCCTGCATGGTCTTAGAATGTACACAAACCCACCCACTCTGGGATTCAGCACCAGAGCAACAACTGGAAGGATACTACTGACATAGGTGGAGTGGGTGTAGTGACTGGAAATGGGGCAAGTGCTGGGCAAACCTCCAGAAGCCAGTCAGCAGCACTGTCCCCTCTCCAAATCCTCCCCCCACACAGAGCTACCAAGTGGTAAAGTGGGTTGCCTCACTTGGTGATTGCCTAAGGCTCTGCCCCACATAATTTATAGGTGCCTTTTCAACAACATACTATGTTACTAAGATGGAGTCAAAGCAACACTACCTAATACACAGAAACAAACAGAGGGAGGCTGCCAAATTGAGGAGACAAAGAAGTATGTCCCAAATGAAAGAACAGAACACAACCCCCCAAAAAGAACTAAATGAAACAGATAACCTATCATATGCAGAGTTCAAAACATTGGTGATTGGGATGCCTAAAGAACTCATTGAGTACAGCAACAACATAAAGAAAAATGAAGGTTACATTAAGTAAAATAAAGAAAAATCTACAGGGAACCAACAGTGAAGGGGAGGAAGCTGGGATTCAAATAAATAATTTGGAACATAAGGAAGAAATAAGCATTCAACCAGAACAGCAAGAAGAAACAAGAATTCAAAAAACAATGAGGATAGTATAAGAAAGCTCTGGGACATCTCCAAACATACCAACATCCAAATCATAGAGATGCCTGAAGGAGAAGAGAAAGAACAAGAAATTGAAAACTTATTTGAAAAGTAATGAGAGAAAACTCATAATTTGGCAAAGCAAATAGACATACAAGTCCAGGAAGCACAGAGTCCCAAACAAATTGGACTCAAAGAGGACCACACCAATACACATCATAATTAAAATGCTAAAGGTTAAAGATAAAGAGAGAATCTTAAAAGCAGCAAGAGAAAGCAGAGAGTTACCTACAAAGGAGTTCCCATGAGACTATCAGCTGCCCCCAAAAAAACTCTACATGCAAGAAGGGACTGGCAAGAAGTATTCAAAATGATGAAAAGCAGGAACCTATAGCCTAGATTACTCTATCCAGCAAAGCTATCATTTAGAGTGGAAGGGCAGAAATAGTGCTTCCCACACATGTAAAGTTAAAGGAGTTCATCTTCATGAGGCCATTAGTACATGAAATATTAAAGGGACTTATTTAAAAAAATAAAAACTATGAACATTAAAATGGCAACAAGTTCACAACAATCAACGACTGAATCTAAAAAAAAAACCTCAGCAAACAACTAGAACAGGAACAGAATCATAGATACAGAGAACATTTGGAAGGTTACCAGCTGGAAGGGGGAAGGAGGAGAATGGGGGAAAAGTGCAGGGATTAAGAAGCATCATTGATAGGTATAAAATAGACAGGGAGGTTAAAAATAGTACAGTAAATGGAGAAGCCAAAGAGCTTACATGCGTGACCCAGGGGCATGAACTACAGTGGGGGGTAGTGCTGGGGGGAAAAGGGAGAAAAACTGGGACAACTGTAATGGCATAATCAATAAAATATATTTTAAAAGAGGTTTTGCTAAATAGAAGAGAATTGAAAATCAGGTGAGCCCTTACCATAAAAATAAAACTTTCCTGTTTCTTTTCTAGTCTGCAAAACTTGCTTCTGTCATAAAGAAGGCACTGGAAATTACAAAGTGAGTATGAGGACTTCTCCCCAAATAGATTTATGAGAATAAACCTGTCCACCCATTCTCCACTCCCAAACCACTATTTCAAGGAATGGCTGTGGAGTTTTCTTTCAACTTCAGTTGTGGAGCAGCTGGGTGTCTGCAAAGAAACTTGCCTTTCTCAATAGAGTTTCCTGTGTGCTTCCCATTGAAGATGGGTTTTCCCTTGACATTGTAATAAATTTCACTTCTGTGTGTTCCATTCTATTTACAGATCAAGTCATGTGACCCCACAGGCAGAAGACAGTTGGATCCCTTTACTCATTAATGCTGTTGATCATTGCATGAATAGAATCAAGGAACTGACCCAGAATGAACTGGAATTCTGAGTTTCCAGGCTCTCGTGTCCTCTCTTCTCTGTTTCTTACTGTCAGAGCCAGGCTTAGATGTCTGCTTTTTAAATGGGGCTAGAATGCTTTCTGGTTTGAAAGAGAGTTTCTGTCTATACTTATCAAGAGATGCTATTACCAAAGATTGTTGGTGAAGCCAGAGTGACAATTATTTATAAAATATATGAATATGATATATTTTTCTGTGTTGGATACAAATATAATGGCATGAGTTTGTGTTCCTGAATCACCTCCCAGAGATTCCTGGGGAAGCTGCCTTACCCCCTTTTTGCAATAAAGCATGTTTCATTGTAAAACATGTTGATGGTCTTAATAAAATGCAAAGCTGCCAGTGGTTAACTGAGTACCCTTCCAAAGTTTCTTTTTACCAGAAATTCAAGTTGAGACTTGAATATTGCTTTCCTGTGGATTTATAGGTCCAAAGACCTGTTCTGATCAGAAGTATTCTTAGAACAGAACACTTGACTTTAATGTGAAGAAGATGACTCCAAGGCCCCCCTTAGTACTTGAGCATATTATATCATACCCTTATTCTTATCAAATCCTTCTGAATATTATTTAAGGTCACCCCATGTCTCTAAAGTTATTTTCTGTAATTGAGCTCATTTGTTAGGTTTGTTTACTACAGTGAACCAGATTTTTATATACATACCTGTATTGTTTCTGTAATATATGTGTCCCCAGATAATATAAAATTTTTATATATCAAAATTTTAATGTATAAGAGTTTCTGTAACTTTAAGAATCTCAAGGACACATGGACAAACTAAGGTGGGGGGGGAATGGGAGGGAGGTGGGGAGCACTGGGGGGTGGGCAGGGTTGGGAGTATAAGACAAAACTACTTGAACAATAATTGAATAAATCTAAATAAAAAAATCAGTGCATAGTAATAATAAAAATAATCTCCTCAAAACCATCACCACTTAATTATATTTTTGCATCAGTCTGGAAGATTATATACTGGAAACAAGGCACACTTGTAGTAATGTAGATTCTGGTGACGACTTGGGCCTTATGCCAGTCCTTTCCATTGTGTAGCTGTGTGTCAGTCATCACATCTGCCCCCCCCCCCCCGTGTCCCCCTGGTCTCTTTAGGCATGAACAGCAACAGCAGCCCTTCTTTTGAGCAACTAGTGTGTCCTTGGGGTTGAAATTCTTAAGAGTTTTGATTTACCTTGATAAAGTGCCATTCTGGATTTCTAACAAATATTATAAAGGAGAAGAACTAAAACTAAGTGTTGAAGCAACAAAATAATGTAAATGAAAAAAATCATAACTTTGTTCAAAAGGAGTCCAGTTCTTTTATTCTTTCTTTTAGGGCCTATTCCCTATATACTTAATAATTTTCATATTTCCCTAGTAGACCAAATTCATGCTACTAACATCAGACTTTAATTGTCGGATACTTCATACAGAGCTCTCACAGAAACTTATCTATAGCTGAATCTAGAAGACCCTTCTCAGGCCCTATGTTTTTTATTTTATAAGTTTGTTCAGTTATCTTTGAAAAGTTAAGGGTAATGGTCAGGGATAGCATTGATCAATGTAATCTTAGGATTACCTAAAAACTCAATTTTTAGTTAATATTGCCCCACTTCATCAGAAATATGAGTGATTTAAATGTCAGGTTCTTTATAAGTTAATGAATGCATTAGCACTAAAATGGTTATGAAAACACTGAACCAGGAAAATCTGAATGTACTTATGTGAGTGCCTTTTTAAAAGTTTCCTTTTATCACTCAAGCCCAGTAGTTTCCGTTCTAAGACAGCTAGTCTTCGTGGCTGCCTTAAGCTGGAGTGACAGAGATGAGTATCTTTACTATTGATTTCTGAGAATCTAATTCTGTTCTTGGTCACTCTTCTGCTCGGCCCGAATGGATGTTCCCTCCCAGCACATTTAGTTCAGATCATAGATACAAGGGGGTGGTTGGGGCACGCGATGCTGGAGCTGGTCGTTTAAGCTGCAGGTTCAGGGGCTACCACAGTGACACTTCTGTAGTTGGTTAAGTTCTGGAACATGTTGCAGTCCATTTCCACAGTGAGCCGCTGGAGCCCCACCTTCATTGGCGTGAACCGGAATTGGGTGCACAAGGTGTCTCCAGGCCGTATGGGACCTAATCTGAAATAAAGGAAAAGGCAGGTGCTAATTCTGTCCCAGGTTCATTGCTCTGCTGGTCCCAGGGATTCTGGCCCTTCCCTGCTTGAAGAGGTTGACACAAGAGGTTTTAAGGGGGTAGAAGACAGGAGCCTCTCAATGGTGAACAATTTCATGGCTGAGAAGAGAAATCCTAAGGGCTTCCAAGCTGCATCTGTTGTTTCTTTTATCCCCTGTGACTTCAATCTGTTTCCACTCTTGGTAACAGTATTGGGGTACATGTGGAAAAGCTTTGGCTTCGGGACACTTGCATTGCTAAATGCAGTGGGCATGGCGAGTATATTGAGAAGGTGTCTGCATGTCAATAGGCAGAGGAGCCCCATCAGCAGCCTCCCCACCTGCCTGGGAACTTTCTTATGGTGACTGAGGGGTTGGTGCAGATACCCTTTGAGGAGCTTTGCCCCACAGCTGATCTGGGAGATCACAAATGTCTGGTTAAATCTTGGCAGTCCCTTCTCTGAACTTACTGGCAAGAATGTCTCGCTGAGTTTCATGAGGCTGAAGCAGTGGCTCAATACCAGACAACCAGTCAGGGACCTCAGGGGCAGTGCAAGCAGAAACTTGAAATTAGATAGGTTTTATTCTATAAAGGACACAGTGGACATAATGAGGGGAGAGATCATGAAAGAAGATACCTGCAACATTTAAAACCAACAAGGGACTAATGCCTAGTCTATACGGGGAACTCCTGCAAATGAACAAGGCAAAAAAGCAGGAACACCAAAAGAAAGGTGGTCAAAAAACATTATAGAGGAAGAAATGGAGAAGGCTAATAAGCACATGAAGAGTTAAAACAATAATGAGATAGTATCTTATCTATTTTCGATGGAAAAAGAGAAAGGTGGGTATTGCATGAGCAGGGGGATAGTCAGAATGTAGGAAATGTCAGGGACTGCAGCTCCGACAGCCATTCCGCAAACATCCCATGACAGCAGGTCTGTTCCTGGGCACATATCTTCTTTTTTCTCCCTCCCGTTTCAAACAAGTACATAAGGGGACATGTTTGGGGGTGTTCCTTGCAGTAGTATTTGTGGCATCTGAAAGTTTGAAGCACTCTGGGTGCCCATTACTGTAAAGGGGAGTGGGAGAAAGCAGGGAATGTGCATTATGTATTATGTAACGGAAACAATGGACTATATATATGTGGGTAGGTCTGCGTGAAAAGGAAAAGAATTAGACATAATGTCATTTATATAAGTTAAAAATACAGGCTCATAAAGCAACAGTGGACATTTTACACGTACTAACAAAAGGATATGAAGGGTGGTAGGAATGGAAGTAGGGAATAAGAATAAGAGATAATATTCAAATAAACAGAATTCATTCCTGTGGTGGGCATTAGTAGATTGCAGCTTTTGAGAGGCAGCCTACCCTCCCTGTGATATTCTCTAGCACCCAGTTCCAACCCTCTCTCCTGCCCTCACCACCAACCAGGTTCTTCCTGCATGATCAGGGCAGCAACCAGGGGCCAGGTGAGTACCTAAGGGGCACAGAGCCTCCTTCACTCTTGTTCCCCACACATATGGTCCTGGGATGAGATAGGTCCCAATCTCTTTGTTTTTCTTCAGGGCATATTTGCACTGTCTCCATGGACACAGCAAAAAGTCAATTAGTTACTAATGTTGGGTCCCAGCCTTTCTGACCAGCTGAGATATGTCACAGGGATGGAAAACTTGCAGTCTCTTACTTGTAGGTCCTCTCTCTGTGAATGAGCCCCCTTCCAAGGATGGAGATCACACAGTCCTTCATCGAAGCAACTAGAGAGTTATGGATGCTGACTGAGGCTGTAAGAGGTTGATACTGCTCTGCCACCTCTGGCATCTGTGGGAAGAGACAATACCTGGAGCAGAGGCCACAAACACAGAGCCACGGTCACCCCTTCCTCTCCTGGGCACCTGCCCTGTACCCTCCCCATACCTTCCTATTGCTGGCATCCTAATCCCAATACCACAGCTGACTTCTTTACCTCTCTACCCAGTCCTCCTGCATTTACTCTCATCCTTGATCCATCACAGACTGCCTCTGAATGTGCCTCTCTTCCACTTCAAGACTTCAGAGGGTTTCCCATTGTCTTTGGAATATAGCTTCAGCTGGCAATCAGAGCCCTTCATGGTCTGACCCCAACCCACCTCTCCAATCTCATTTGTTCTTCCCTTGACTAAACGACATCCAAGCCACATCTGGTGCTTTCCCATCCCCAGTGCACCCATCATATTCCCTGCCTTTGGGCCTCTTCTGTTTGCAGTGGCCTTCCCCTACCTCTGCACTGGAAGCTTACCCATTTTTCAAGATCCAGTATAAATGCCACCTCCTCCATGAAGTCTTCCTCAAACTAATCGGATGGATTTAATCCCCTTTACTTCACTTATCCCATAGTGACTCTGTGGCTCTATTAAAGCACTTACATGTAAGACCAAAAGTTGTGTCTCTCTTACCCAACTATAACCTCTGAGGCCATGAACCACATCACATTTATTTTGGCCAAGGTAGACATGTGGAAAGATGACCAGACCAAGAGCCATAAATCTCTAAAATGTCCTATTTTTATGATCTTGTGCATATTACTCTCTAGGACAGTTTCCTCATCTGAATAATGGAAACAGTTCCACCTCCTGGAGATTTTGAATTAAAAGAAATAAAGGAGGTGAAAATATATAGGCCTATGTATCATGTGCTAAATAGACATAGGCTATTATTATCCCTGTAAGTATGGAGGCAGCAGCTGGGGAGGCCCAACTTTAGACACCTTTACTGAACCACCTAAAGAAGGTGGAAGATTTAAACCAGAATACCACATGCAAGAAACCATCTCTGTGAAGACAAGGAGCTCTCAACCTAACATTTTCCAGTAATCCTGCAGCAAAGTCACCTGCCCTGGAGTATGATGGGCCCTGATTCTTTCTGAAATGGGGGCCCAAGTAATAGCATATGAGGGTGATTTGGGGAAACACTGGTGCCTACCTCAATGGCAAGGCGTGGTCTACAAATGGCGATGTCTTCCTGAGCAAAGCAGCTGAGGCTCAACTCCGAGTATGTTGCCAAAGCAGTAAGTCTGAGGAAGCTGTTCTCAGGTGGGCTTTGCTCAAAATAGGAGTAGGACAGGCTGGTGGTGATTTTCTTCACTGAGACACATGACAGGAGGAGTCAGTGCTGGTGTGTGTGCCTGGACCCAGCAGTAGTTACATGCACAATGCAAACAGGTCAAGATCTCACCGAAGCCAGAAGGATGCCTCATTCCTCACAGCAATTTCAAACCTGAACTCACTCAAGAGCCCATCTCTCACCACCATCCCCACCTCCACTAACATTACACTCTTGGCAGGCCACCTCAGTGGGCTTGCAGAACAGTCTTTTTGAACTAGAACAAGTTAAGCTCTCTTGGCCACAGTTTCCTTATCTAATAACAGCCACCTGGCTGGTGTTAGGTGAGATATGCAAACAGAGTGCATATCTCGGACCCTGCCACACAGTTGCTGCTGAATAATGCTAGTTCCTTCCCATTCTCTGCTTCTTCTCTTTCCCTTGTCAGAGAAAATAAGATCATCCTTCATCTTTGAGGAATCCTCTCAAGTTCATGTTCTTATTCCCAACCTACAGACATGGACATCTACCCTAGTTGTCACTGCACCAGCAGGAGGATGAGGTGTCCCCCCTGCTTGAGTCTAGTCCTCTGCTTTTTAAACCTGTGCTCCTTCCCAACCCTACCAGTGCCTAGCTGTGAACTATGTCTTGGTCTCCTCATCTGGAAAGTGGGAATAATAATGGTTCCTCCCTCATAGGGTTGTTGTGAGGATAAATGAGACATTGCACATAGAACATTTAACACCACATTTATCACAAATGACTGCTCAGTAAATGTGAGCTATAATTATTGTAGTTGACTCTCATTTCCCCCAAAGTTTCCATCATCAATTAAAACCCGTATTTCCTACTTGACTTGGCATCATAGATACCCAATACAATGTACAGAGGATGTATTATAGAACTGTATACCCGAAACCCATATAATTTTGTTAGCCAATGTCACCCCAAGAAATTAAATTGTTAAAAAAGGATAAAAAAATCTCTCCTGAGGCTTCAGGCTTTCCTTCTCTGCTGATTATTTTTTTCATTATGTAATCAAATTTCACTTTCTCTTATCTTAAATGAAAACAAAAAAAAAAACCACTGTCAGGAGCCAACCAACAGCCATCCCTTGACACAGTCGGGACAGATGAGATGCATCTGCACAGCAGAGGCAACTGTGGCTGGATTTCCTGTCTATCTCTCCTTGCGTGTTTGTCTTTGCAATTAATAGGTGGTGGGATTTTTAGACACCTGTATTTCAGGTCTAATTATCTGCAGAATTCCAATGAGGTTGTAGAAAATGATTTCGTGGCAATAGAACAAAAGTTCCCCCTGATGGGGTAGCCCCTGAATGTCTAAAAGTTGATGGAGTAACAGCCCCTCCTCTACCTTGGACAGGAATATATATTAATTAGAATTAAGCAGGCAAAGAAACAGGAGAAGCTTGTTAGCTACTACAAACTAAGCACGTAGAAACAATTACCAAAGAGTTAGAGTCCATATTACATAAAGTAAAATTTTAGGCAGAAAGATAGATAGTTAAGTTAGATACCACAAAGGCCTTGTAATAAATTTTCTATAACTACTATTCAGTCTAGCGTATTCTTTTGACCTATGCCAAATTCTAAGAACTTTAATAAACATCTGTTCATCAATAAGACATTTAAAACTCTGTACATACAACTATTTCTAATTATCTGATTAATGGCTCTCCTGGTCTAAATAACTTTTGTTTAACATAACTGAATCTATGGAATTTCCTGTACTTTTCCTAGTTACCTCTGTATTATTTTTTTTCTGCTTAACTGATCATGCCATGCACCTGTTTATTTAATGTTATGTAACAATCTCTATAAAAATAAAGCTTAAATCAAACTCTGAGTTCTGTCAGACCCACAGAGCCTGGCTGTTCTCTGGCATCCAATCAGGCATCTGATTCTTCATTCGTCACCTGCGCCATCCATCCTTTGGGGACCCTGAGACCTTCCGAGACTGGACCCCGGCAAAACACCCTCCACCTACTCAGTGTCTCTGGCTGACTATCAGCCAGCCTCTCTTCTTTATGCATCTATCCACTCTTCCAGAAAGGACTGCACACCTTGTCTCACCTCCTCAGGTCTCAATCCACTTAACCCCCAGGAAGCTGGCATTCACCATCACTTCTGAGTGAGACCACTCTGCCAATAGACGCTTTTCCACCTTGACCTCTCATGGTCTCTCTGTTGCCCTTGCTGGGTGCCTCCTCCTCTCTTTGACTTCTCCATCTCCCTTACCTTCTGCTCTCTCCCTAACTACCCCTTACATGCTGGTGTCACCTGTATTCCCTCCTCGCTCTCTCTTCTCACAGTCCTTGCGCCATTGAGCTCATTGATGCCATGACTCTTGGCTGTGCCTTTCTTGTGGGATTCTTACATCTGGTCTATAACCCAGGCCTTAGTGTTGAACACCAGGTTTAGGTTTCCAGCTGCATGCTGCCTAGGTAATGGGCTATCAAACCCAACATGACACTAACAGAATTCATCATCTTTTCTCCAAACTTTTTCTTCCCCATTTTCCATTCTAGAGGCCCCTCAAACTGGAAGCTCTCTTTCCATCCTCCCACATATATTCACAAGTCCAGTCTATAACCTTAATATATCTGCATTTGAAGTGCTGATAGTTTTCCTTCATTTCTTGATTATAACAAAAGCTTTCAACCCCTAATCCAGTAGTTCTCAACATTGGATGCATATTAGAGTCACATGGGGAGCTTTATAAAACAATCCCAAGGCCAGGCCATACTTCAGGTCAGTTATATCAGACTTGGATATGATCAGTATTTTTAGAGTTCCTCAGGTGATTCAATGTGCAGCCCAGGTAGAGAACCACTACTCTGATAGAGCCCCTTCCATTCCATTCTTCCAAAAGTCCTTTTTTAAAAAATCAATTTCTGCCTGGCCAGTGTGGCTCAGTTGGTTGGAGTGTCATCCCATAAACCAAGAGGCCGCGGGTTTGACTCCCAGTCAGGGCACATGCCTAGGTTGTGGGTTTGGTCCTCTGTCAGGTGCATATGCGAGGCAACCAGTCAGCGTTTCTCCTTCACATTGATGCTTCTCTCCCACCCCTTCCCCTCTCTCTAAAATCACTAAGCATGTTCTTGGGTGACGATTAAAAAAACCCTGAAAAAATGGATTTCTGATCATAATGACTCCCTGTAACAACTTTCACCAGTTCCCTGTTGCCCAGGGAACAAAACTCAAACTGCTTAGCATGACCTACAAGCTCCTGCGTGGTCTGGCCTCGCCCAGCTCCCATACCACTCCTCCCACTGCTCCCCTCCCTGGCAGCCCCCTCAGAAGGGAAACGTGGTGGAGAGACTGGAGGGAGGGTGGTGACTGGGAGGCTGTTGCAACAACATAGACAAGCTCTATTCCACCCTGATTCTATCTTGCTCCAACCATGGAATTTCTGATTTAATTGGTCTGGGGTGTAGGCTGAGCATCAAATTTTCCTAGGTGATTCTGATTATAGGAAAGTTGGAAAACATCTGCTCTTGTCCAGGAAATTTCAACCACAAAATAACATAGGCAGTTTAAAAAACAACAACAACCAAAAAAGAGAAACACCTGGACCCCATCCCAGACCAATTAAAGACGATCCCTGGGAGGAAGAACCTACACACTTGTTTTTCCTTTTGCCTGGAATGCCCATGACTCACTTTTCTGTCCACCACTGTCCTACTCATCTTTTAAGACCCAGTGCCGTTTGATTTGCTCGGAGGCAGCCTGCTCCAGCCAGGATGCAATGCTTCCCTGTCATTGTATTCTGTTTAACTTATCAAAAATTTCTTACACTGCTGCTATAGTCTGTTTAGTTATATTACTGCCATCGTAATTGTACAGTATTTTTTCTATGTGAAGCACAATAAATATATATTGAGTGAGAAAGAGAGAGAGAGAGAGAGAGAGAGAAAGAGAATGCACCAGAGGCTAGAAGGCACCTATTGAGACCTGCCAGGGGAGCCTTATAGCTGCAATCGGCCCCAGGTGGGAGCTGGGTGTTTGGGCCGCTGGCAGGGCCACAGAGAGTTACCTAGGTTGCCACTGAGCTCAAGAAACATCTTCTTCCTCCAGAGCTCAGCAGCAAGGACGCCGTTGTAGTACACGGCCTGCACCCCAATCGCCAGCTGCACACTCTTCTCCTGGTCACTGGGGTTAATCAAGGTCACAGAGAGCTGGGCATCCCCTCCCAGGGGGAGGGAGGTGGGTGCTTCCAAGAACAAGTACAGAGGATCGGCAGTCTCAGGACTGGGAGGACGGTTGCCATCGTCTCCCCCATGTTCCAGTTTCTTGTTCTGGACTCTCTCCAGCACCTCTTTTTCTTGAAGAGATCCTGAAGAATGGGACAAACAAAGAGGCCTCTTATCCATGAATAAGACTCATTTACCCACTGCTGCTCAAATGCCAAAGTCACAAAAGCTTTGCAAACCTCTAAGGCCATATTTAGGTTAGAAAAAGAGAAGAAAGGGCTTGTATTCAGCACATCCAGAACTAGTACAGAGTGTCCCTTCCAAGTCACTCAAGGACCAAGTTCTTTCCCAAGTGCTATGAATTTGCCCCTGAACAGTCGGAAAAGTAACATTTTGGACAAGTCACACTGTCTCTGATGACAGTTTAGAGAGTTGAATCTTTCTAAGTGAAGGAGTTTTAACTTATTCCAAGGATATTCTGGAGCAGGGGTGTACTGTAATTATACTTGTGACTTAGAAAGCTCATGCTGGAAACAGTTTGGAATGGGAATAATGACAGAGAGTTTGCAGGCAGGGGGCCTGTTTAGGAGACTGTTGGAATACCGGGAACAAGAGAAATGAGGCCCTAGGCCCCGTACAGGCAACGGGGAAGGATGAGATGAACTCGAGAGTGATGTGGGCTGATGAAGGGGGAAGAGACGATCGTGCAAGCATCCTACTCAGAGCAAATAGGTGGACAGTGGTGCCATAAACTAACATGGAAGGAGGAACAGATCGAGAGGGATTGGGTAAGCGGGGAGAGCAAGAACATTTCTGGCAGCTGGAATTAGTATTTGGTGTCTTGCTTTAGAGCAATACTTCTCAACTGGGGGCAACTGTGCCCCCCAGGAGACATTTGGAAATGTCTGGGGACATATTTGGCTGTCACACTGGTGGTGGTAGTGGTGGAGGGCTGCTGGCATCTAGTGGACAGAGGCCAGGAACGCTGCTAAATGTCCTGTGGTGCATGACCCCCACAGGGAAGTCACCTGGCCCCAAATGTTGGTAGTGTCAAAGCAGGTTGAGAGGGGAAAGGACGATAACTCCCTGTGGCCTGCCTCTGCCTACCCATCCCTTCCCCTTTTTTGCTATTTCAGGGGCTGAGAAGCCCGGGGCCCACCCTGCCCAGTACCTTCAGGGTACTTGTAGTTCCGAGTGATGTCCTCGCAGCGGTCACCGCCCACACCTTTGGTGCTGATGTTGTTGCCAACATACTTAGTGTTGGAGTTGGTCAGCTCCAGTGTCCTGTCCTCGCAGCACTTCCAGACCACACACGAGGCGTTTACTGTGGCAAAAAGGTCTGCCACTGCAGGGGTCAGGCCCAGTGTCCCCTCCTTGACTGCTCTGACAGGGACCAGATCACAGGCCTTCAGGGCTGAGGGACAGAAAGGTCAATGAGCCAGAGGAGCAACACCCAGACCTCTGCTCAAGTCAGAGCTCCATAACCTCAGTCCCCATCCTAGACCCTATTTTCCTTCCCTGGGGATCAAGGTCAGAGGTGGGCACTCAGCGGGGTTCCTAAGAGAGTATACAGAGGTGAAACATAACATTCAGTGACAATAATTTTGGCAGTGGCCTGTGGCAGGAGCCCTCTCAGAAACCGGACAGGTAGAACCTCGGGGGAACACAGTACACAGGGTTCCCAAGCCAGCTTTGCTCTGGATGTAATAGGAATAGGTCCCGTTTTTTGAGCACTTATATATGCCGGGATCTGTAGCTGGTCTGTTCTTGGGGAAAAAGAACTGTATTTCATGGCTCCTGAAGATTACTTCCCTGAGCTTGAACCTATCTTGATACCCTCTTCATCCATAACTGGAATCTCAGAAGTCCCACCTTATAAGCTCCTGACCCAGCACCACTACCAGCTCTCTTAAGCCCCTCTGCCTTTCACTGAGACTCAGCAGCCACGCCCATTGCTTGAAGGTGGGGGCTAGTCTCCTCACAGCCTTGGGCTGAGGTGGCTAATACCTTCGTCCCCTTGAGTCCACTGGCCTCAGGACAGCATTCTGCCAGCCACTATCATTCTTTCCACTTTTTCTGTTTTAGGGGATGCAGACCCTCTTTGGACTACCCACTGCTCCCCTTTCCTTTCTGAGTGACTTCTTCAGCCCACACAGCTCTGTCAAGCCCATGGTGGTCCTGAGTCCACCCCCAGATTTTACCTCCACCTCCCTCAGAAGCACTTGGGTACAGAATCTGCCATCCACCATAACCCTGGGGCAAAGCAGGCCGCGTCATCCAGCACTCCGTGGAAGTCTGGAAGATCCTGAAGGTGGCAAAAGAACAATTCAAGCGTGGGGAAAATGGAGTCCTGGAGAGGTTCTAGAAATAGCAGTTGCTGCCTTGGGTGTGGGAGGGTGCTGTGTCCAAGTGGCTGTGACACTCTAGGAAGGGGCTTGCGTGCCACAACTGACCATTAGTGTCCAAGAGTCTTGAAGGCCTTCTCAGTGCCTGGGCCAGTCAGGGTGGGGGGGTTCCCTTGGGGCTCTGCCGTCTGGGTTTGGAGCCCTTCCAGTCTGAGACACCATCCTCTTTGGGCTCCTCACCAGATTTTGCCTCTCTGGCCTTGTCCATTCTGAAGCCCCTCCTCATCGTAGTACTCCTCCACGAACAGGCCTCCTCCGGTGGCCTGGGCTGAACCGAATGTGGTAACAACTCGGGCAGGGATCCCTAGGCACCGCAGCACTGCGTCGAAGGGACAGAGTCAGAGGGCACCAGAGAGGCAAGGGGTGGGGGGTGCAGCTAGTGTTTTCAGTGTCTCCCTTCTGGACAGGCACTGTCTTAAATACCGGGTGACACCATGGAAAGAGGAGGAGCATAGGCACCGGGAAGTTAGAACAGACACCAGGCACAGGACGTACAAAGGCCACGAACTGAAGTCCACCCAAGTTACACAGCAGGCAGAGCACACGGCAGGCTGACAGAGCACTGGGGGCTTGCTCTATGTCTGGGGGGGAGGGCCATGGGAGGTTTCGGAGTGAAAGTGAGATTGGAGCAGAGTTCGCCCGGTAGGCCCAACTTTGCTGAGGGGGGAAAGGAGCACAAGCTGGTCAGGAGGAGCAGCCCTGAACGAGTAGTGGGTTTCTTGCCAGATGGTGCATCTGAACTGGATGGCGAGGAAATGCCGCAGAGTGGAGGCAGTGACTGCTTTTGGAGATGACCCTCCCACAGGGCACCCCACGAGGCAGACACTACAGTGGCCAAGGTGAGCCTACCCTGTACCTGTGCAAGCAACAGCAGCCAGCACCCAGGCCTGACCATCATACACAGGTCGCCCTCGGCCTGTGAGCCACTGCCGCAGAATGGGCACACTGCCCCGGCGCTTGTTCAGCAAGGCCCCTTCCTGGGCAGCCTGGGGCTGTGGGGTGAGCAGGACGCGCTTCTCCTTAAGGTTGTGCAGCTGTTTGGGGAAACATGTGGGTATAATTTGAGTCCTAGGATGAGACAGCTCTCGGGGTGGGGTGGGGTGGGGATGAGGGTGTAAACTGGGGTGAGAAGGTAGATGGTGGTAGAGGTGAGGAGGGCTCATCACAGTTTTCCAGGTGTGGTGAACAGATCGTCTGCATCAGAATTACCTGGAACATGTTAAACTTACATGTCCCAGAGCTCCACCTTAGCCCACTGGGTTATAATCTCTGGGAGCCTGGGGAAGCCCAGGAATCCACTTTTTAAACAAGTCCTCTAGAAGCCAGAGGTTTGTGGACCACACTGGCAGAGAAAGCCACGAGAGGAACTTGTGAGTTGCCCCTCATTGGGGGCTGGGTTTCCTGCTCCTCCACTTGCCTGGTCCCGGTTCCTCTGAGGGCGTTTGCACCTGGGGTTGGGAGGCCCGCTTACCCTAACCCTCCTCCTCACAAGCTGGCTCTGTCTCTCACCACCTCTTCAGAGCAGTGTCCAGTGGCACCAGAGGAAATGGAGAACACATTACTCTTGTGAAGGACTTTTAGGAACAATGGGAAAGTACCAAGCTACCTTCATGGTCTACATATCCTTAGAAATAATTTAGAAATAAAAATAAGTCCCTTTGACCACCTTAGCTGCAAACGCTGACTAAGATAGACCCGACCCTCTCCCTTGCAGGGGCCTGCGGGGAGGAGGCAGGTGACAGACGGGTGCTCTGAGGAAATCCAGGCCAGTTTTAGTTCTGATTGGCTTGAGTCTTGAGGGATGATCCTTCCCTTTGCTTTTCTCTCTCCCGTGGATGCTGCTGCCCTCCCCTCCTCTCCATACCTTTTGCCAGGAACTATCCCCCACACCCTGAAGATATCCAGGGCCATAGAGGGGGGAAGCTCTGTCAGAGGGCTCCTCCTTTCCCTCCTCTCACTCACCAAGGTTCCCAAAATGCGGGCCACATGCACAGGGTTGCCCCACTTCTCCACCTGCTTGTCCACACTCAGCAGGTCCAGGCTGAGGTCCAAGACATCCCCCTCGAACTGTAAGGACCATACAGAGCCATGATGAAGGGTTTCCATCACACAACTGAGCCCCGTCACCTTGTCCTTCTCCCAGACTCAGGCTTCCCTCCTTCTTCCTTTGCCTTGTTGTCTCCTGGTGCCCTCTGGTCCTGGTGCCTGGCCATCCAATCCCAATAAGATATGAACTCTTGAAGACCAGGGCTTGTTATTTTCTTTTCTTTCTATCTTTATGCATTTAATGCACTCCTACTGCTCCTGCCAGCACTAGCCCACAGGTGGAGGATACCAAGGGGGCTCCTGCTCTTGAAGAGCCCACAGTTGGTGGGATGGAGAGGGACACATAGCCACTTAGACCACAGATCTCAGCCACGTGGTCAAGGCTCTAGCAGAGAGGCCAACCCAGAGCAGAGAGTGCAGCAGAGATTCGCTTTGCCTTTGGAGGCTAAGGGAGGCTTTTGGAAGGTCTTAAAAGATGGATAGGAGCTTTCCAGGTGATAATGAAGGGAAGCTTTTCCAGGCGGAGGGAACGTTCAGCGTGCATGTCCATGGCTGGCCAGGAACGGGAGCCCAAGTGGCTCTTGAGGAAAGGAGAGCAATGGTTTGGCTGTAAAGGGCCTGTGTGTAGTGCCAGGGCATTGGTTTTTATCCTGTAGACAGTGGGGATTTAACAGAGGAGTTTAATTTGTGTGGTCTTTAAGAAGATAACTCGGGAAGCTGTACAGGATGGTCTGACATGGCGCTGAGGAAAGAGCGGTACCACGTGGCAGAAATTCCCTAAACACGTTGTCTCATGACCAGGGGTTTTTGGACCTGCTAGCTTTGTCTGGCCTGAACACTAAAGGTTCACTGTCCCCTCACCTTCCCTGGGCCCCATACCTGGCCAAAGTCCCAAGGCTCTTCCTGGATGCAGTCAGCTGTACCCAGGTAGATGAGGCCATTCTGGTTCAACAAGTACTCCCAGCGTTGCGCCTCATTCTCCAGGAACACAGCATCCTCTGGTGAGAGGCAGGCAGGAATGAGGGCCCATGGGATGCTGGGCCTCCTCTTCACATCCTGGCCTCTGCCCCTCCCACCCAGGGGCAGAGGCTACATGTCTCCCCTTCAGCTCTGGGTCTAATGAGGACTGAAGAGGAACTTCCTCTTTTCACTGCCCCCACTGGGACCTAACTTCTCTGGCAGCGACTGGAGAAAGAGGTGAGAGCTTTTGCATCAGTCAAGGTGACCTTCGTGGTCAGCCAGGTAGACAGCAACAAACCAACCTTAAAAAGCCGACTGGGTCCCAGAAGACACCTGCAGTCAGGGTGTTACCAACATAAGAGAATATGGTAATTGCCCAGGGAGCTTCCCAGTGGGCCTGTCATGTCTTTGTCATAAGTTCAATTAAAAAATAGTGTTTCAGAAAAACCAGTACAACATAGGCTGACAGGGGTGAGAGGAAGAGTAGCACTTGGCAAGAGTAGCACTTGGCAAGACAGGGTCAGAAGGAGCAGTGGGGCCGGTGAAGTGGAAGCCAAGGCATTGATTTTCCTTTCTGGGGGTGTCCAAGTGGGTCTGGGACTCCCATGGTCTCTTGCTGGTGCCTGTCCTGCTGTCCTCATCGGAGGGCTGGGCTGGGGAGGTAGATGGGGGCTTTGAAGAGTCCATTGCCCCCGGTAGAAAGCTGGAAGTGGTGGGGGACCTCCTCTGCTTGCCAAGTGCCTCTCTTTCTGCACCTGGTGCTAGGGGTTGAGTGGGGGATGGTTAGGCTGGTTTCTGGGGACTAGAAGGAGAAAACGATTTCTAAACCATCCCCCCCAGGCATCCATCTGGGATGAAGGTGCTCAGAGCAACAGCGTGATAGGATATTAGGACTCAGAAAGTCCTGAAAAACCCGGGGCCTGAAATCAGAGGGCTCTTGTCTCTGATTTTAAAATCAGGGACACCCTTGCCTCTCTATCCTGAGTGCTTTCTATGAAGTCAGCTTCTTTGGAAGTCACTTCAAATTGAGGTATTTGGCCCAGGTGCTGCAGGGCTCTGGGAAGTACATTATCAGAGCACAGGTGGCACCATCCTCCTCTTCTTTGCTTGGGTGCAGCCCCGTTTTATACAGTTCCCTGCTGACCTACAGGAGGCCTGCAGTGGGATTTGCGGCTCCAGTCATCAGTAGTAAGGGCAGATCAAACATGTGGAAAGAAGCAGGACAGATTTACTGTGAAGCTGATGAATCTGAAGTTTTGGGGGCCCTCAGGAGACCCCCTTCAGGACTTGGGAGGGGCCTTAGCAATTCAAAATTTTGTCTTCTCTTTCCTTAAGAAGGTTCTCCAAATTATATAAACCTCAGGTCCCACACAACCTGGATTCACCTGGTGATAATCCATGGAAGTCCAAGGAGGAAAGAAGCTTATCCCCTAGGTCACCTCTACTGAAGTACTTTCTAGTTCTTGCCCCCTGTACTGTCACAATAAAGGGTAGCTCTGCCAGGATCATCTCAGACTATTATCTCTTGTGACCAAATAGCCTGAGTCAACACAGGAGTTTGGTGGTGAGATAAGCTTTTGCTTTCCCAGGGAAGCCCCAGGCTGTTTCTGCCAGGGTCAGAGAACCATTCATCCAGGAAGCAGACACGGCAAGAGCCAGCGCTGGGGCTGAGGCTGCCTTTAGAGGAAGCTGTCAGGCTGCATTCAGAACCTGGGTGCTGAGTACCCTGCAGCCCAGGCTGACCCAAGTCCAAACTCACCTCGAACCCAGGGGTTAAAGAGCAGGGTGAACTGGCCCAGGAGGCGTGGCTTCCTGTTTAAGACCTGCAATAGGAGTGCGTAGTGGCCAATGACAGCATCGGAGGGAGTGGTCACAGAGATGGTCCAGGACTGGGCATCTCTCTCCTTCACCTCTGCACTCCACCACTTCTGGTCCCCCAGACTGGAAATTGGGAATGTGGCTTGGGTCATCTTGGCCTTGGAAGGCTGCTCTCCTGCAGTCACACACAGATGTATCGGTCATTTGGACTTCTTGGTCACAACTGAGTAATAAAGTCAAGTATCACAAAGTTGGAGTAGGTAAAAAATTAGTTTTGGAGAAGAATAAGGGGAACACCCATTAACGAGAGTTGATACAGGGTGACGAGAGCACACAGGTTCTTAGTGCCCACGGACCTGCGTTTGGGCACTTCACAGTCTGTACATGGGCATTGTAATAACGCCTGCTTCGTAGGCTCAGTGTGAGGTCTTAAGGAGATACGGTATGGAAACACCTTGGCCCATTATCTGACATGTAGTACAGACTCAGTAAATAGTAACAAATATAATATTCAGCCTGGATTAGATCCTATGCAGGCCTTTCTACAAAACTGGTATTGTTTGCAACCAAAAGAAACCCACTAGAGATACTGCTGCTGAGCAGTATCTGAACTTCTGAATCACTTCTGAACCATAATAAACAATACTTATTAGGCACAATATCTTCTCACAACAGCCCTGCTGGGTGGGCAAAACTTCCTGAGGCCCAGTACCATGTAGGCCATTTGCCCCTTAGTTTCCTGGGAGGGGGAGGCTGATGGGAAAGAACACTCCAGTCCCTGCATCAAAGGGCCCTCAGCCTGCCCCCACTCACCAGTTTGTGCGATGAGGGCCACCTTCTTCAGGGCAGGCAGAAATGCATGGACTGGAGCCTGGAAGTGCAGTGTGATGGTGAAGGGCTGTCCCCTCCTCACAACAAGGCGCCTGGAGCTGATGTCATTGGTATGGTGCTCCTCATTGTTTTTTGCTGCCTGGAAGTCACAGCTCTTGATCCCCAGGGCTATGTGGGAAAGAAAGAGAACACGGAGGTAAATGTGACAGTAAGTAAAAGCAGAGACCCTGCGGTCAGAGAGACCAGTGTTCAAAATCCTTGACTCAACTTACTTCCTAGCTGTGCCACCTAAAGCAAATAACTTAACTACTCTGAGCCTCAGTTTTCTCTTCCTTAGAATGATCACTCTTCCTTGCAGGGTTGTGGAGATTAAATGAAGTAATGTACATATAGTAGTCCTCCCCCATCCTCTCTCCTTGGGGGGTACATGCCAAGACCCTGGTGGATGCCTGAAACTGCAGACAGCACCAAACCCTATATTACATGTGAGTGATTTTCAACAGGTGCACCACAGAATATTTAAAATTTGCAACACCCAACTATTGAATCAGGGACACTGACCTCTTTTCCCTTAGATTGTCAAATAACAAAATGACAATGGCCAACACGACAATAGCCATCTGGTGTGAACCCATTAATATCATACCTATTTTTGTCAGATCAGCAAAAAAAAAAAATAACATATCTTTGTTGTGCTGCAGAATCTTAGTTTATGTAATGAGCTTATGTGTGCCATGAGATGGAAGGGTTGAAGATCACTGCTATCCATTATATTTTCTCCTATATATACTTGTGATAAAGTTTAATTTATGAATTTGGTATGGCTAGAAATTAACAGCAATGACTGTTAATAACCTAGAACAGCTATACCAATGTACTGTAATAAAAGTTGTGTGAGTGGTTTGGGGGTCCTTATTAAGCAAGATAAGAGTTACTTGAACGCAAGCGCTGTGGTACCTCGAGAGCCTGTCTGACAGCCGAGACGGCTACGAAGCGACTAAAGGGCAGCAGCGTGCACCCCACAGACACACTGGGCACGGGTGGCTCACATCCCAGGAAGCACGTGGAGCGAGATTTCATCATGCTACTCAGAACGGCCTGCAACTTAAAACTTACGAATTGTTTACTTCTGGAATATTTCATTTAATATTTTCAGATCACGGTTGACCGCAGAAACCACAGAGAGTGAAAACATGGATAAGGGAGGACCTACTGTAATACACTTAATGCAGGGGCAGACACATAAGTCCCATTAAGTGAAACTGTTATTATTATTAATAATAAGAGCAGTGCTTTTTCTCACCGTTGACCTCCTGTTCTGGTCCCAATCCAAAGGCAATGAATAAAATCCAGAATTTTGCCCACCCTTACTCGTTATTTTTTAGAACAAAATCAGATAATTTTAAGAGCTGGTTTTGAAATCACTAAATCTAATTCTCTTGCTTTATAATTGACCAGAGTGAGGCCCAGAGAGTAGAATGGACTCACCCAAGATCATACTTGGCTGTTTCCCCTAAAGGTTCCCCCAATCCGTGGCACCACACAGCTAGAAGAACTGTACAAGGAAGGGGCCTGGGAGTATTAAGACAGTGTGACAGACAATCCTCACATATAATGAGACCTGTCGATGTGCTAACAGACCTGTGCAGAGGCCCCTGAAGTTTCTGCCTACTCTGGGCCTGCCTGTTTTCCTGCTCTGTGTCTGCCTTTGTCCCTTTTAGTTGGAGTCCCTGACTCCCTACTTTCCCTTCTTTTCCATTTAGCCTCCAAGCTATGACACCTCGTGCTTTTCCAGGGTCATCTCCTGTAAGTGTCACAACCCAAGGAGAACAGTCCTGTTATGTAGATCCTGGGACAAGACTATAAACCCATGTTAACCACCACCATCATCACAACTGTGATCACTTACCTTCCAAACCTACCCTGTTGCCACTGCATGGCCCTACCGCCATCACCTTCACCACTACCAGCACCCGCTACCATCCCTTGCCATAGTCACAGCACCTCCGCCACCATCCTACTTCCTTTAATGAAAACACGTAATGATGGAAGGGCTGCTGACAGTCCAGCAGGCCCCATGGAGAGCTGGTTTGGCTCACCCTGTCCCATGGCTGTGGGTTGCTCTTATCCAGGAGCCCACTGGAAGTGCCTGTCTTGAACTGTAGCTCAGGGCTCCCTCTCTGAATCTGTCTTCCTGATAGAAATTGATGAAGGTAATTTTGTTAGCTTAAGAATCTATAAATAGTGGAAGTTCCTTCCTCTTCTTTTGTGAGCTCCCCGACAAGTTGCTTCTCTCCTACTCCCTCCCTGCTGATATCTCCTGGGCCAGCTGTTGGGAGTTACCATTTTTCATTTTATCTCTTGTGCCAGGAAGCTCAGGCAGGGGTATGCCTGGCAGGCTAGATTCGGGGGTGAATTGGGAAAGATCTGCCATCTGGGGAAACCCTAAAGAAACCTCAATGCCTGTTGCTCCAGTGGCCTCAAGAGACCCTCTGAAATATTACCTGGATGACACTTGAAAGACTTTGGAAGAGACAACCCCACAGACAGGAGGCCCACATCCAACCCCAAATCTCAGGCCCCACGTATATCATGGGCTACAAGTTGCTGGATGTCCATGGGTAGTTTTGATAATACAGAGAGAGAACATGTGTATCTGGGACTCATCTGTGTGAAAAAGATAAGGAGGTAGAATCTGTTGGTGAAAAGCGAATGTCCTAAGAGCAGAAGCCAGGGCCCAAGCTCTTCCAAGCTGGCTGGCTCTGGGCCACTCTGTCAGGGAAGGTTTGGAACTGTCTTGGTGCCGCGGGCCAGCCGCAGCGGGTCAGGGGGTCCCACAGGTGAGGGCAAGGCGTCGGCGCTGGGTAACAGACGACAACACGCCTCAAAGGACAGCGAAGCTCTGTTCCGTTTATTGCAAGTACAAGCAGGTTTTTATATTTTCATTTTAGGTACTGATTAACATTTGCAGTATAATATGATCATTTAAGCAGAAAAAATCAATACAAAGGTAATCAGTAAAAGTACAAAAGTTCCCATAGATTCAGTTAAAAATTATTTTAACTAGGAGAGCCATTAATCAGACAGTTAAAAATATCTTATTTTATATTAAAGTTTCTCAGAATTAGGTATAGGGCATAAGGATACGCTAGACTGAGTAGAGAAAATAGGAGATTTATTATGAGGCCCTCGTGATGTCTAACTTAGCTATCTATCCTTTTTTTGCTTAAAATGTTTTTTCAGTGTACCATAAATTCTGACTCCCTAGTGACTATTCAGTTTGTAATAACTAACTAGCTTTTCTTATTACTTTGCCTGTTTAGTTGATATATATTCCTATTCAAGGTAAAGGAGGGGCTGTTCCTATGTTGCAGGGGGCTTTCAAGGGTACTTCTTTTAAGTTTTTCTAGGAGTTCTTTTATAGACATGTTTTGTACTTTGATTCCCTCTAAGAAAGTAGTGAGATTATCTCTTGATTTCCTAGAGTATTCTATCTTATCTTGGGTGTTTTTCCAATGATCTGTTATTGATTAAGCTTGAATTCTCAGATTGTTCTGGTTGTTTCCTTGTGCCTATATTCCCTGACGTTCTAGTATGATATTATTATTCTGTTCATTGAGCCAGGAAAGGTCTAGGCACACTATCTGAATCACTGCCAGGGTATTCATAATGATTAAAGCAAAAAGGTCATGATCTCTAAAGCAAGCACAATCACAATAGGTATTGCAAGGCCTTCTATGCCACGTCCACCAGGTTGGAAACTGCTTCCTTGAAGTCTTACACCCCCTCTCAGGACCTTGTCACAGAGAGAGGGATCCAATAGTGGACGCGGCAGTGGACGTGGCATCTTGGGACCCAGAGTCTATGTCTTTTCTATTTCTACTTGTCCAGTCACCAAGGAGATATGACACAGTAAAGGACCTCCTATTTGGCTGTCTTTGATCTTCTAAAGCCCAGCTTTTGATTGGGCTCCTGAGACTGTCACCAGAAGCACCCCTGGGGCAGCTGCACTGGCCTGCATGTGCATGGGTTATCTATAGAAGGACACAGAAGGAATGACAAGGGACATTGGTTGCCTGTGGGGAGGAGAGCTGGGGAGGGGGTCAGAAGGTGATTTTTCTACAGGTTGGACCCTTTATACTTTTAACACTCTAAACTATTACCTATTTAAAGAATTTAATTATATTAAAAAATGAAGCTGCTGCCTTCTCGCACACCCCCAAAAAGATTCTTCATGCAAAATTAAGAGGTACATTTTTCATTATTTGATTATGATGTGATGTTTACCTGGAAAACATGAATCAACTTGAAATGACTATAAAAGATAAGATAATCTAGTAAGGTGATCTTAAGTTTAATGCATTCTCAATAAAAATACCAACAAGTTTTTTTCTCTGACACTAGAAAAGTTGATTCTAAGGTTCAAAAAGAAATCTCTAAAAGAGAAATGTAGTATGACCAAGCTTCCAAGATAGTAAGACATAATATGATAGTATTGTAATTGAGAAAGTACATAGATAAACTGTACTCATTAAGTATGTGTTAAATATGGCAAATAATACCCAAGTAATATCTAGCAAAACTTTAAATGTCTATACATCTGAATCACTTCTAGACATTCTATCATACAAATAACCAAATGTGTATAAAGTGAAATATTTACAAGTATACCTATTGTATTGATAGTTACAATAGTAAAATATTGGAAACTGCTTAAATGTCCATTAATAAGGTACGAGACAAATTGTGACACATGCATTCAAAAGAATACAAGAATGAAAAAAAATGAAGTAGTTCCATAGAAAGTGATACAGAACACTCTCCAAGCTATATTGTCAAATGGAATAAGCTACCGTTGTATACAGGGGGTGTGTAGGGGATAATATATGTGAATTTACTTGTGTTTATATAGAATAGTTCTGGAAAGTTATTGCTTCTGGACTGGGAAATTAGTGCCTGGGGTAAAGCTTTTGTTTATTCTGTATATTCTTTTGTGTCTTTGTATCACAAGCATATATTACAGGTTTTAAAAAAACAAAAATAAATGCTAGGAAAGGAAGTAAAGGCTGACTGGAAGAACTGTTTTCACTTCCGGCCAAGATGGAGGCATAGGTAGACACACTGTGCCTCCTTGCACAACCAAAATAAGGACAACAAAAATTTAGAAATAAAAAGCAATGAGTACAGATAGAAAATTGAACTGTAAGGAAGTCCGACAACCAAGGAGTTAAAGTAGACACATTCATACAGACCAGTAATAAGAGGGGTGGAGTTGGGCGGCCAGCCAGAGAATGGTCACAGAAAAAAGAACAGTGGCTGGTGAACCCCGGGTGCTCAAGGCGACAGCTGGCAGACCCAACGAGGCAGCAGATTGTGGAGGGGTGTGGCACACAAGATGGCTGGTGGACCAGGTGGTCCCACATTCTCCCACAGATAAACCAGGCGAAAATGGGGAGCGAGACAAACCGAGCAACCCAGGGTCTCAGCTCCAGGAAATAAAGTCTCAAAACACCGACTGAAAACACCTGTGGGGGTTGAAGCACAGGGAGAGACTCCCAACCTCACAAGAGAGTTCGTTGGAGAGACCCACAGGGTCCTAGAATGTACACAAACCCACCCACATGGGAATCAGCACCAGAAGGGCCCAATTTGCTTGGGGGAAGCAGGGGAAGTGACTGGAGCAAGCACCAATGTTCCCTTTCAGACCCCTCCCCCACATATAGCATCACAACAAAGTGATGTGGGTTACCCTGCCCTGGTGAACATCTAGGGTTCTGCCCCTCACTACATGACAGGAGCGACAAGACAAAAAAAATGGCCCAAATAAAAGAACAGATCAAAGCTCCAGAGCAAATAAAACTAAGCAACCAAGAGATAGTTGAACTGTGCAACTATCAGATGCACAGTTCAAAATACTGGTAATCAGGATGCTCACAGAATTGGTTGAATTTGGTCACAAATTAGATGAAAATATGAAGGCTACACTAAGTAAAATGAAGGGAGATGCACAGGAAACTAATAGTGATGGAAAGGAAACTGGGACTCAAATCAACAATGTGGACCAGAAGGAAGAAAGAAACATCCAATCAGAAAAGAATGAAGAAACAAGAATTTAAAAAAATGAGGAGAGGCTTAGGAGCCTCCAGGACATCTTTAAATGCTCCAACATCCGAATTATAGGGGTACCAGAAGGGGAAGAGGAACAGCCACAAGTGGAACACTTATTTGAACAAATAATAAAGGAGAACTTCCCCAATCTGGCAAAGGAAATAGACTTCCAGGAAATCCAGGAAGCTCAGAGAGTACCAAAGAAGTTGGACCCTAGAAGGAACACACCAAGGCACATCATCATTACATTAGCCAAGATTCAAATGAAGGAGAGAATCCTAGACGCAGCAAGAGATAAAGGGGACAATCACCTACAAAGGAGTGCCCATCAGACTGTCAGTTGATTTCTGAAAAGAGACCTTACAGGCAAGAAGGGGCTGGAAAGAAGTATTCCAAGTCATGAAAGGCAAGGACCTACAACCAATATTGCTCTTTCCAGCAAGGCTTTCATTTAGAATGGAAGGGCAGATAAAGTGCTTCCCAGATAAGGTCAAGTTAAAGAAGTTCATCATCACCAAGCCCTTACTATATGAAATGTTAAAGGGACTTACCTAAGAAAAAGCAGATAAAAAAGATGAACAGTGAAAGGACAGCAAACTCAGTTATTAACAATCACACCCAAAACAAAAACAAAAGCAAACTAAGCAAACAACTAGAATAGGAACAGAACTACAGAAATGGAGATCACATGGAGGGTTAGCAACAAGAGAGTGGGAGGAGGAGAGAAGGGAGAAAGGTACAGAGAATAAGTAGCATAGATGGTAGGTAGGAAATAGAGAGGGGGAGGGCAAGAATAGTATGGGAAATGTAGAAGCTAAAGAACTTCTACATTTTGTGTCCATATAAGTATGACACATGGACATGAACTAAAGGGGGGAATTTGGGTGGGAGGGAGTGTGCAGGGTAGGGGGAGTGAAGGGGGAAAATGGGACAACTGTAATAGCATAATCAGTTAAATATATTTTTAAAAATAAGTAAATTGCAAAGAAAAAAATGAAAGCACTTTTCACCACTGTGAGCTCCCCCTGAGAGGGCACTGGGGAGCTCACAAGCTGGCTCCCCTTTTGCAGGTTTGTTCTGGTATGAGCAAAGAGAAGCTCTTGTTTCCTGATGCAGTTCCCACGGAGCTTCACAAAACCCAATGATTGAGCCGTATTTCACCTGGAGCACTTTTGAGCAAG